GTCCCCAGGTGCAAGTATTATTTATATCTAACCAGCTAAGTGTTGCAATAGCACTGGGACAAAACCTCTGCCAAGCTAAACACAGCCATTCTCCCAATTTAGTAGGATCGGGCTGGTGAGTATTTGGTGAATAGATGTGTAGGGTTCAGTATAAAAAAAGCTCAGGACCGGAAAGCCAAGTGCTCAGCATCCACAATAGAGAGCAGATTTTCAAGACCCTTAGTCTCACAAGCTCTGACAGAGACTTTTCTGCCCAGATTGTTCCTTCAAAAAATGTGGTTGTGTGGTTTATTGCCTAACAGCCACCCCAGCTCTAGTGGTGAGGGCCAAATGCTGCTTAGAAGTACTGGCTTGTGGTGTTACACAGTCCAAACTCACTAGATTGGCACTGGAAAGAATCCTCAAGGCCCCTGAAATGCCTTTTGGTGGTTTGGCCCATTTATAGCAATGCTCATTAAAGCCCTATCATGGGGAGGAACCGGCAGGGAGTTCCCTTTCACTGGAAGGCTGTGGGCCTTTGCAACAAAGCCTTGATCTAGTCCAAATGGAGCAGAGTTCTGCACTGACCTGCAGGGTGAAAGTATCCCCACCCCCAGCTCAGGAAAGCATCAACCTTTCCTAACAGCAGTCCCTTAGCTGGTGCAAGGCTCCCCCTCTAGTGGCTGTTTATTTTCACTTGTCTTATAAAAGCTAACTGAAAAGTGAGCAGAATAGAGGCACAGGGCTCCCCTAGTCCTACATTACTGAGCAATGTTGCCTGGCTGCTGCTACTATAATGGCAGGAAGAGAGGCTTGAGAGGGGAGTATGTAGCTAAGCAACTCATTGGGATGAAGGGATGCTGCCCAAGCCTTTGTCTCCTTAGACAGGCCCACATCCCACCCCTTTCTCCTGCACCCCTCAGAGTGAGAAAATAGCTCTAGCTCCATTGCTGCTCAGTGGAGAGAATGCTTCTTGCTTGCCCTGTATTCTCTGCTGACATTCATGCTGCAGCATCTGCACTGTGCCTTGCCCAATGTGGCCAGCTGCGGTGTGGCTTTTTAGCAACAGGAATTGCTCTTTTTTGGTTTTTTGCACCTGGCACTGCTCCATGCATGATGGCAGTGCTGCCTCTCAACCAGTGGATGCTGCAGTTCATGGCTGCCTCTCTGATAAAATTATAATGCAGGGAAGTGGGGAGGAGGTGCCTTGGAAAAGAGTCTTGCTCAGGCAGGTCTGAGATCAGCACGTTGACCAAATTTGAAAGATCTTGATGGATGAGCCTCTGACACTTGTCATACCTTCTCTCTTTTGCCCTATCCGCATGCTTCCAAATTGCTGTGAGGCGCTCTGTGAGGTCTGGCTTATGTAACAGAGAGCCCGTCAAGGTTCGGACATGTAGGCCCCATGGCCTGCAGCTGGATTGAGTAAGGAGTCTCCATCAAGCACTCATCTAAATGTCTCATTCCTCCAGCATGCCCTCAGGTTCAGCACTCTTTTGCTTTCAAAGCTACACAGTTATTAGTATTAAGCAGGCACATTCAACTAGAAAGCCCGGGAAGTGAGAGTGTGTGTGTGTCTATATATGTGGGCATGCACGTGCACCTATTTATCTCTGTGTATCTGTTGGGGGTGATGGTCTAAACAAAGAGGGATATTATTAGGGCCTGATCCTAACAGAATGACAGGATCATCTTTTCAGAAAGATTCCTAGAGGGGCAGGAAAACAGCAAGCCCTTTCCATCTTGTTAATTGTGGACCAGGTAACAGCCTGACATCAAGAAAAGCAGACTGAACAAAGAGCAAGGATTCGCTGCGGTGCAATTATGACTTTTAGCTACAGCCTTGACTAGACTGCAGTACAGAGGTGCACTGCTGAGGGGTTGGAACTGCTCTATTGAATGTACATTATGGCTGTAGATTGTTTGATAGAGAAAATCCCAACCTTTGGCCTCAGAGTTAACAAAAGCCCTGTAATATGAAATCCCTTTTCCCCCACAAGGTGCTAGCACAGGAATGACCTGGGGACACATTAGACAGTGATAAGTGGCTCTTTCCATCCCCCTCCCCTTTTATCCTGTTTACAATACAGGGGCTTTCCTTGAACCAAATCCTTCTTTACCTTCCATGCTCCTGGCTGTTGTGACTAAGTGAGCCGATTTGCTGATGGGCTTTGACTGAAAATGCCCAAAGTCTAACAACTATACCATGTTATCATTGGCACATGGTGTACAGCAAAAGCCATGCATTCTGGTGCCAGCTGTTGCTATTTCCTCACAGTTTGTTTTTTTCAAGCCACAGTCCCTGCAGGCAGGTGGTTAGAGAGGAAATCCCAGATGCTTTAATTTTACCACAGAAAGTTGCTAACCCTTATGGTTGCAGGGAAAAAAAACCTTGACTCGCATGCACTGTTAAAAGGTTTGACATCAGAGTGCAAAGCAAAAAACACATTTTCCCACCACTATGTTTAAACAAAACTCATTAGTGTTCCCCCTGTCCTCCTGCCAAAAAAGTGCATTTGGCTTCATGGATAACTACAGAACTGATAGAATTTGGAGCATCAGCTGGCAGAACACAAGAACATATGGGGCATATCTACACATGTGCTGTAATGCACAGTAGCCTATTTTACTGCACATTAAGGCAGTGCATAAAAATCTGTGCTATTACACTAATGCACAGTAAAAGACTACTGTGCATTAAGCATCACCTAAAAAGTGTGCTTGCGCTAGTGTGCATTAGCACAACCTAATGCGTATTAATTTAGTACCTCATACTGAAGGTACTAAATTTAATGCGCATTAGGAAAAGTGCATTAATGGACGTGTAGATGTGCCCAATAACTGCCATTTACTGGGTCAGACCACAGGTCCATCTTGCCTGAGAATGGATGCAGAAAGGGAAAGTGAACTGGGTATGACTAGGGTTGCTTCCACTGTTCCTCTGTCACTTGCAGCCTCCAATATTTATGGTCTAGGAATTTCTGTTTCAGAGGCTGTACCCCTAATTACCATGCTCAATAGTTACTGGTGCACCTTTCCTCTAAGAATTTGTCAGATCTCTTTTTGAATCTCAAAAACCATCCAGGGTCATTTGCGTGCCTGAAAGTAACTTGGGAACTCAGTGAACAAATTAACAGCATTGTCCATTTCAGAAGTAATTTTGGATTAGCGATAGAGAACTCACAGATGACAGCACCCCTTCTGCTCTTTCACAAAGAAAAAAATGAAAGCTTTTGAAACGTGCAAGAATCCACTAAATTCAGATTTAAATATTACAACAGCAAAAATCAAAGAATCAAAAAATCAATCTGGATAAACTGTGACCTTCCACATCCTGTGGCATTGAATTCCACACTTTAATTACATGCTGTGTGAAAAGGAACTTTGTTTGTTTTAAACCTACTACTGACTAGTTTAATTTTGTGACCCCCTAGTTCTTGTATTGTGAGTAGGAAATAATAAAACCCTTTTTACTTTCTCTTCACCATTTTGTAAACCTCTATCATGTTCCCCTTCAAGCATTTTTTCAAGAATGAACAGGCCTAGCCCCTTTTGTCTCTCCTCATATGAAAGCTCCTCCATGCTACTAATCATCCTCATTGCCCTTCTCCAGTTCTTCTATATCCTTTTGAGATGTGGGGACCAGAACTGGGCACAGTATTCAAGGCATGGACACACTGTCAATTTATAAAGGAGCACGATACTGTTTGGTTCACAGGAGAGATGGATCCATGAGGAGGCTAGATGCAACATTCCAGTATTTCATCCTTTGCAATTTCCAGGCCAAACTCTTTCAGCTTTCAAGAAAATTCATGGTTTCTAACTCCTGCTCCCAAGGCCTGAAAATCCAGACCACACTCTTTCTGCCTACCCCATTACTTGTTAGAGAAACCCTAAATTTAGCATTAGCAATCTTGCCAACAATACATAAAGGGAACATTTTGCTTGCTGTCGATACATGGGCTTTGTTCCACACAGAAACATTTTTTATCTAGAAAAATGTCCTCAGGGAATGGGGGCAAAAGACAGAAGGTATGACAAGTGTCAGCCGCTCATCAAGATCCTTCAAACTGGATCAACATGCTGATTTCAGACCTGCCTGAGCAAGATGCTTTCCCAAGGCATGTGGTACCTCTTCCCCACTTCCCTGCATTATAATTGTACCAGAAAGGCAGTCATGAGACTGCAGTATCCACTGGTTGAGAGGCAGCTCTGCCACTGTGTACATATCAGTGCCAAACTCAAAATCCCCCAAAACAGCAATTCCTTTTGGTCAAAAAGCTGCACTGCAGTTGGTCATGTAAGGCCTCACTTCATTCAGCCCAAAATAGACTGTATATCAGTTTGGTCCCCTCTGAGGGACAAGTAATAACTACCTGTGTAGGATATCATTTATGTACAGTCATATGGTTGGGAACCACTAACTTCATCCAAGGCTTACTCCTAGGTCTGGAAGCTCTGAAGACGCATGGGGCCAGCAGGGGGTTGGACTAGATGAGCTCCTGAGGTCCCTTCCAACCCTACTTTTCTGATCGTATGAGGGGGAACACAAGGGGGATGCTCAGGTGGAACAGGATTCGGTTGGGTCCCTCACTGTCAGTCTCACTAGGCCACTTAGTACTAGTTGAGTGGCTCTGTCATTATCAGCAGGTGTCTACATGTGCACATTTACTGCACAGTAACCAAAATTACTGCGTATGTGCAGTATCTACATGTGCACACCTGTACTGTGCAGTAAATATGGTAACTTACACTGACTTGAGTGTAAGTTTAATATCTGCGTCATGCAGGTATCAAATTTACACCCAATTAGTTACTGTGCAGTAATGCATGTGTAGACACCTTACTGCACAGTACCACTGTGTGTGGGCTGACTTGAGTCCATACACAGCATTAATGCGCTTTAACACCTGCATGTGTAGATGCTGGCCTATACCTGCTTACTGCGCAGTAAATTTATGTGGGTATAAATGCACGTGTAGACACGCCCAGCGAGAGGCAATGAAAATCATAAGATTCCATTTAAATTCAAGTTATTTTTTTGAATGTGAGGGGAAAAAAGCATCAATCCATCAACTCTGTTTTCATCGTGAAGGTGCTGCTGAAAACCGGTGAGAGTCTGTTTTCATTTGCAGAAAGAGTAAGGTGTGGTTGCTGGGTGGCAGGGGCCTATTTGACGCACAGCACAAACAGGGTTTCGGCCCAGAGGGGTAACAGAGGGGCTGCTGGCTCCATGTCAGCTCAATCTGTGGGCAAATAAAGACAAGTTGTATTTGACTGAAGGTCAAAGATGCAACATGCGCGCACTCAGGGGGCACGAGCCAGTGCTCCTTCCCCAGGAAAGCATCAAGAGGCGGCTCCTAAATCCGCACACACCCGCTCCCAATGGCGCAGGCCTCGCCGGCCCCGCTCTCAAACCGGCCCTCAGGCCAGAAGCAGCGACGACCTGCATCCGCTGGAGCGCCCGGCCCCGCCTCGCCGCTGCTCCCAAGGCTCCCCCGCGGCCCCTCCCCCAGCACCTGCACACTTCCTCCCCTGCGCTCGCACCGCTCGGTCTGAGCCGCCCTCCCGTCACGTGGGGGAACCGCCCCCCCGCAGAGCGCTCGGCTCAACCCCCGGCCCGCGAGCCAAATGCGGCCTGACCCGGCCCTCAGCGCGTCGGGGCGGGACCTTCCTCAGGGCCGGGCCAGGGCGGGGGATGTTCTGACCGCGTCGCGCCTGACGCCTGCGCGCGCAGGCACCTCGCAAGGCAGCCTCGGCGGAAAGGGGCAGGACCCCGCCGGAAGCCGGAAGCGGCGCGCTGAGCTGACGTGTGGCGGGCGGCTGGTCGGGTGCCGCCATGGAGACGCTCTATCACCAGACCAACAAGTGAGCGGCGGCGGCTGGCTGTGGTGGGGGTCCGTGCGTCACGGCGGCCGGGCAGCGCCGGGCTCGGGCTTCCACCCTCCCCGGGTGGTCCCCCTTCCCCCTGCCCCGCATGGGCGAGCTGCCCCCAGACGGCCGCTCGGTGACAAAGCAGTTAGTGGCTGAGCAGCAGCAGCTGGACGGACGTCGTGTCTGCCTGGTCTCTGCCCCCCGCAGCCCCTGGGGGAGGCAGGGAGAGGAGGCACCTGCAGGCTTAGCAGGCCTCGGGAGGAGCTGGCAGGGAGGCTGGTTGGCTGCTCTAGCCCTGTTGCTACCCAGGGGAAACCAGGGTCCCTGCGAGCACACAAGCAGCTCCTTGGTGAAGGGTGAGGGGCTGTGCGGCACTGGGTGCCCTGTGAAGGTCCTGGGGTAGGGTAGGGGCCTGCAGCAGCCTGGTTCAGTGGGGAGCGTGAGGGGGCTATAGCAGGTGCTGGGGCAGATCTATGCCCCCTGGCAATTCCTGCTCTTGAGAGGAGGCCAAGGCAAAGGTGCTCCCCGAAAACAAATGGTGGCAGCAGCAGCAGGACTGAGAGGTAGCGATGCTGGCAGGGAGCCCTGGTACCTTTGCCACGTGGCAGCAAGGGTAAGGTGGCCTGACTGGCAGCCAGGAAGTTTGAAGGACTCGTGCAGTCCTCAGTCAGTTGTCTGTCCAGCTTCTTAAGCCATCAGAGTCCCTTGGGAGCAGGGGCGAGTAGAGGGAAATCCAATTTGCACCTTGTTTGAGTGTTATGTTTTAGAGTGTGTGTGTGCGTGTATTTCTCCCCGTCCCCTGTTCTGTACTTTGTACTGAACAACAGTCTGTTTGAATAGCAGTTGATCCATGTTGTGCTTGTGTTTCTTTAATAGGCAAATCCAGGAGGTCCAGTCTTATATGGGACATCTGGAAACCTCAGACAAGCAGTCAGTGCACTGTGAGTAGCTGAAGAGGGTAGTCCAAGTCCAGTGTGCACATGTGGTGAATTTCTTTTTATCATTGAACCTTGGACTTTTGCGTTTCCATTAGCTGTACCTAATGTCATAAGTTTAACCTTTGGCAACTTTTTATATTCTGTTTTAGAAAGACAGTGAAGCAAAGTAGATCAGACCCAAGTTCCATATGGGCCAGTATTCTCTCCCCACTAGCAACCAGCGCCAAACGCTCTGGACCAGGGTGGAAGAAGCTTTCATATCTTAGAAACCGAACAGGCGTTTAAGCAGGACTCCATGTGTTTTACTCATATTACCTAATTTAACTCTGAGTGTGTTTATGTAAATGTCCAGCCTATTTGAATCGTCCTAAATTCTTGGCCTTGCAATCCCATAGCAGTGAGTTTCATAGCTTGCTTACTTGCATGAAAACTGTGGTGTTTCTGAATTTCTTTAGTGTCCCCTTGTTCAAGTGTTTGGAGACAAGGAACAGGAACTCCGTGCTCTCCTTTTCCTAGACTTCTTATGTACTTTTGTCACATCCCCACTTGTCTGTTTTCTAAAGAAAATTATGCCAGCCCCTCCTTTTGGGTTTCACAGGCTCTTGTCTATTCTCATTTCCTTTCTCAGAACCAGCCATAGTTCTAAAATAAATTTTTTGAGATGGAGGACCAACACTGCACACAGGAGCCAAATGAGGGGGAACTGTTATTTAAATCAGTGGTTCTCAACTTTTGGTACCTTACATACTGCCTGCTGATTGACGCGGCAAAAGTGAAACCGGAAATCCCACCGTGGCATTTCTGGTTTCTCCACTGTGAGCCAACTCCCACTTTTTCCTTGTGGACCACAGCCCAGGGCAAAGCAGCCTGCATGGGGGTCCCCTCCCTATCCCCCAGCACACTGACGCTGGGGAGTGAAAGCAGCAGGAGGGGTGGAAGCCAGAACTTCTGGCCCAAACAGGCAAACACGCCTCCAACCTGCTGGACAGGGGTTGGGCCAAACTAAAAACGCAGCACCCGCGTACCCTCTGCCCATGTCTCGCGTACCCTCAGGGGTATGTGTACCACGGGTTGAGAAACACTGATTTAAATAGCAATATTATATTTTCTACATTATATTTGATCTCATCCTTTTACATCCTAATATCTTGGTGTTTTCAACCACGGAGGTTGTCATTAAGATGGCTTTAGAAATGCCAGGGTCCCTTAAGGTGATAGTTATTTTAGAATGTATGGTTGGGCTGGTCAGCCTCTGGCACAGGGGCTGCAGGGTCACCTGCACTGCATTTGAAAGGTTGTCTGAGTCTATCCCAGTTGTGTAGTTGGTCCAATAAAAGGTACCCACAAAAATCCTTGCCTCTGGGATGACCAGTTATATTTTATTGATATTCTCTAAACTTTAGCTTTCAGACACTAAACACATCTTGGTACCCTCACTTCCCTTGAGATCTGAAACCTAATTGTGGTGGTGTTAGCCTTGTTTAGTAGATCATCTGTTGTTATCTCTTTAACTTCTTAGTCTTTGATCAAGATAGCTTTTCCTATGCGTGCTGTTAAGCAAGCTATTCAGTGGAACAGTCACTTTGTCCTTTTCTACCATATGACCAGTCGCAGTCCCTGTGTTATTTTCAGTTTGTTACTGTGCTGCCTCTTTGCTCTCTTAAATGTGTTCTCAGTTAATTTCCTGCTATGAAGTTGAGGGTATCACCCGTATGACAGTTAGATTCAGGCCATGTGTGTGTTATATTCATGTAGATTCATTTGAGAAATCATGTAGAACAGGGTGGTCAAACTCATGGGCTGAATGAATGAGGTAAGGCCAGTCTGCAGGCAGGATTAAATTCCCAGGTCCCCTTTCCTCTTTGGCTCCCCTCCCCCAGCATATTGAATCCGATGCCCACTCCAGGTGGTCCAGGACCTGTGCTGCATGCGGCACAGTCCAACCAGATGCATGTAGCATGGATTCCAGACTAGCCGGAGCAGGTATTGCACTCCACAAGGTGCCCACTCTGGCTGGACTACACTATATGTGGTGCTTGCTCTGGGAACCATGGCACGCACAGCACCTGCTCCAGCTGTTCCAGGACCCCTTGGACATGGTGCCAGCAGGCATTGCACGTAGCACGGGTTCTGGAGCACCTGGAGTGGGCACCACATGTGGTGTAGTCCCAGAGCTTCTGAAGGAGATACCATGTGTGGTGCGTGTTCCTGGAGTGAGCACCACACATGGTGCAGTCCAGCCAGGGGTGGCATCAAATGTAGTGCTGCATCCACTTCAGCTGGTCTTGCATTCATGCTGCACACTGCTGCCTGTGCAGTGCAGTGGCTGTGAAGGGCACCATATGCCCATGGGGCTGGTCTAGTGTTTGCCATGCTCCACGTAGGTCTGCTCAGACACAGGGGCAGCACTGGGCATCAGATGGCAGGGCTCTGTGGGTTGGATCACCTGTGGTATAGAATCTTTTCACGTCAGTACTACTTCCCCACCTTCTAGGCTTGTCTCTCATTCCATTATAGCCACCTTTTGCAACATCTCCTTGATTTCTGTCAGGTTCACGTCATGTATTGCAAAGCCTCCTAGTTCATTTTTTTTATGGTCTTGCACTTCCAAGGTGGACCAAAAAGAGCTATGAGCCTTTGTTTTTATTTAATTTCATATGAAACTTTCTGGTCTCTTTGCCTCTTTTTTTTTCAAAATCAGATTTCAGTCTTGTTCTTTATTGTATAAGAAGCTGCTGTTACACTAGGCTTAGTTACATAGCCAGACTGCTCACTGACCATGGTCCTGTACCACAGCTAAATCCACCAATCGACTGGGCTCCCTGCCCTGGCCTTGGACCCATCTCCCCAGCCACACTTGAGACACTGTTTGCACAACCCAAAATGGGTTGGCTTTTCCATGCCCCCACACTCTGGCTGGCTGCCTCAGTGCATGCATAGGTTACCTGTCCCTTAACTGTGTATTCCACTTCTCAAGAGTTTAAATTTTCACTCGGGCCATGTGAAAATTGGTTAGCTAGCAACTTTTGAGTTGCTTCTATGGCCTGTTATTTGTGTGTGCAGTGTGGTCTATTTGCTGTGTGGTTATTGGACTTGTGGTTCTCTGTAGAGCTTAATTCTGAATGTGCGTCCTCAAAAGGATGGCTGGTGGCCTGCACTAATCAGGCTAAACACTGAGTGAGTACGTCTTCTTGGGGCCTCATCTGAGTCATGGTTTAATTTTTTTTTTCTTCTTTTTTCCACCCCCAGGTCTGCCCAGAGTCAGCAGAGTTTATCAGCCCTAAGAAATGTCCTCCTTCTATCTTTTTTTTTTTTTCAAAGGGCTGTATTGGCAACCCAAGGTTACATGACTCCCAACTGGGATCCCTAACCACACCCTGCATACCTTTGGGATGTACTAAATTTCAGGGCAATTCAAATAGCACTTCAGAGATGATAGAAGGAAGTTTCTAACTGTAGTGGCTATAGCACTGCCGTCCAGTTTGTACGATGCTTTGAGATCCTTGAATGAAAATTTCTGTAGAAGCACATGGGTTTTATGGAGTGGACGTAGGGTTTCTTTGTCCTCTTCTGGTACAATGTTTTCACATGTTTTCAAGGCTGCTGGCCAATGTTCCTATGATCACACAATTGGGATTTGAAGAATTTTATGTCTGGGCCTATAAACCAGGGAGCAGAGAGAAAATTCCTCAGATCCCAGTTGTGTGACTGACAGGCCATGAAGCTGAGGCTCATAGATTTCATAGACATTAGGGCTAGAGGGGACCTTGGAAGATCATCGAGTCCAGCCCCCTGCCCAAAGGGCAGGAAGTCAGCTGGGGTCATAGGATTCCAGCAAGATAAGCATCCAATTTACTCTTGAAGGTGTTCAATGTAGGTGCTTGAACCATCTCCGATGGCAGGCTGTTCCAAGCCTGGGGGCTTGGACAGTAGAGAAATTCTTCCTTATGTCCAGCCTGAAACGGTCTTGTAGTAGTTTATGACTGTTCAGCCCCGTCATCCCTTGGGGTGCTCTGGTGAACAAACGTTCCCCCAGATATTGGTGGTCACCCCTGATAAACTTGTAGGTGGCTCGGGAGCTTCCTAATCACCATCTGCCCTACAGGGCTTTTAAATATCCCCAAGTGCCAAGGAGCTGGGACTTTGGGGATGCCAATCATCTGATTGTCAGCAGGGTGCAGTCCCAGGTCCAGGACACATGCCACACGTTCAATTGAAAGTTAAATACAAACCAGCCATGAAAATGTTTTGTGTTTAGTAGCTGGTTTGACATTTTATCCCACCATTAAACTCCCTGAACAGGCGGTATGCTACAATTTATCATGTGATTTAGGTCTTAACTAGCAGAAGGACTTGTTCTTCACCTGGGTCATTATTTTTGTAATTGCAGTGTTTGTTTATTTTCAAAGTACTTAGTACAACATATTTAGGTCAAAATATTGTTTATTTTTAAAGAACATAGTACAACATATTTTGCATTTAATATTTAACGTGGCATGACATTCCACATGACATCTACAATAAAGATAATTAATTGGGAGCTTCTTTGTAAGCAATGTTTGTGGTGTTTCCTGTTGGTGCTAGTATATACAACCCTCTTCAACTACCAGCTCTGAAGCAAGTCAAATAACTGTCCATGTAAAAAAGCATTGTTCCCTTAAATAGTCACTGGAAGCCCCAAAAAGGGTCAAGTGAATAATAGCCCGCCTATAATTTTTCTTCAGGTGGTAGTCAGTAATTTTGGAAGGTTTAGAGTAGATAGGACCAGTCGTTCTCGACTTATAAGCGAACATACATACATGCAAACATACACTTAATTTTTTATATATATATATTTCATAGCAATGCATTGTGTGTTTAGTCTTTTCCAACAACTGGGTTCCTTCTCTTCTCTTTTTCCCCTCACAGTGGTAGAAAATGAGATTCAGGCAAGAATAGACAGGATATTCAGCAACTTGGAGCGCCTAGAAATCCTGTCTAGCAAAGAACCTCCTAATAAGCGGCAGAATGCCAAACTGTAAGTGTTTGCTTTCCCTTCCCGCAATAGTGCTTTACACTTCTGTGGCTCCTTCTATCAAAGGGTCTTGAAGCACTTTATAGACATGTGTCTTATTCATGTCCTTACAGTCAGTGGAATTGAGGCATAGAAAGGAAGTGAGCTTCCCAAGGTGACACACTAAGGTAGTGTTAAAGCCAAAAGTAGTACCTTGGACTCCTGTGTTCCATGCTGTAATCAATAAACTACTCCCCTCTTGCTTTGAAGAAGCTATGTTGTTTCATAAGGGAATTAAGTAGCTTTTATAGCTTCTCTGGCTGTTTTTAAACTGATGCCTAAACTAAGGTGATCAGATTGTTGGCCCCCAAGCACATTTTAAGCATCAGGTTACTAAGAATTGGGGGGTTTGGGGTTTTTTTTTGCTGATTTGGCCAGCCAGTTCCAAAAGGTGTGGTATCCATATGTTTTATGATAAGACCTTGGAGAATTTACAATGGGCGAGGAATACTCCGTGCATTACTTCTAGATCGGTGCTGCTATTAAAGATGTTTTTTTTAACCCTTCTAAATCTCACTGTCAGTTTGTTACACAGCCATTTTTAGGGAAGAGTGTTCCAAAACAGACTTGTTTTTCTCTTATGCTTCTTTGGAATGGTATGATGGAAGCTGTATTTTTTGTGTGCACCCTGTAGATATGGAAGACTTGAGAGAGTCTTTTCAGGCTTGGCGGCCTGCTTATGAGGTGACTTCACTGTGATTTGGGATCTGTGAGGATATTAATTTGAGAGAGAGATTTTAGTTTGAGGTGTTGATCTCTAAAATGGGGGTCACCAAGCTATGGCCTGTGGGTCATTTCTGGCCCTTGGAGCTGTTTGATTGAGCCTGCATATGTGAGTCCTTGGTAGTGTTTGGCGGTGGGCATTCACCTCGTGCTGCTCTGTAGAGGAGCACTAGTGGCAGGCCATCTCCTGCCAGCTGTCTGCCTCTGACGTGAGCTGGACGTTCTGGCCCTCAGCCTGAAAAGGCTGGCAACTGCTGGCCTAAAATTCTTGCCAGGTACTCTTTCTCTTGGATGTTCTTGCTCCTTTGAAAATCCCAACTTTAAAGACAAAGTATAATAAAAAGTCAGAAGTTTGTAGAACAGCATTTCTTTTCACTCGTAGTGAAATGACTCGCCTGGAGTCGTGGACCAAGAAGTGAAGGAGGTAAAATTGTTCAAATCTTAGAATTTGCACAAATCTGTCTTAAGGAAGGCTTATGTGCTACTCTGAAGGCACAAGAGAGGATGCATGAGGCAGCTCAAGGTTCATCCTTCACCCATTTGTAAATAATCGCATACCTGTTTTGCTCTGAACTGTGGCATGAAATTTTGGCTTCTGACACTTCATTGACTTTTCGAAAACAAGTTAAGTGAGGACAAAATATTCTTTTTATCGTTAGTTGTACTCTAATCTTTAATGCCCTGTCTGTCACAAATTAAAGACCAAAAAAAAATGCTACCTCATGTTACCTACCCCTGGGATTTTCCTCCTCTTCTTGATTCTGTGTAGCCGAGTTGACCAGCTCAAGTATGATGTCCAGCACCTGCAGACAGCACTGAGGAACTTCCAGCATCGCCGTTATGCCCGGGAACAGCAGGAGAAACAACGGGAGGAACTTCTGGCTCGCACGTTTACCACTAATGTAAATATTCCTTGCTTTAGAACATGGGGCAGTTCCATAAAGCATCCACCTTACCATTTGAAAGGGGGAAACATGGGGTTAGGATTTGTGTAAGATGCTGCAAATGTATATAAAGATAGAAAAGGTAACACTGGGCTTGGGTAGAGGGCACTATACAAGATGCAATGAATAAACAAAGAGTTAGAAGTCTTTTATCAGCCTAAAATACTCCCTAGGATTGTGTCTGATAAAATAATAATAATAATTATAGTGATGGCTGAGGCTTGCCATC